TTTTTTTTTTTTTTGAGATGGAGTCTTGCTCTGTCACCCAGGCTGGAGCGCAGTGGAGCGATCTCGGCTCACTGCACCCTCCGCCTTCCAGGTTCCAGCGATTCTCCTGCCTCAGCCTCCAGAGTAGCTGGGACTACAGGCGCGAACCACCACACCTGGCTAACTTTTATACTTTGAGTAGAGACAAGGTTTCACCATATTGGCCAGGCTGGTCTCGAACTCCTGACCTTGTGATCCATCTGCCTTGGTCTCCCAAAGTGTTGGGATTACAGGCATAAGCCACTGTGCCTGGCCAATTTCATTCCTTTTTTTTGGCTGAATCATATTCCATTGTATGTAGCCCACACTTGGTTTATTCATTCATCTATCGATGGACACTTGGGTTGTTTGGATATTGTGAATAATGTTGCTATGAACACTGGTACACAAATATCTGTTTGAATCCCTACTGTTGATTTTTTTGGGGGGGAAATATATCTAGAAATTGAATTGCTGGGTCATAAAGTAGTTCTAGGTTTAACCTTTAGGGAAACTGGCAAACTGTTTTCCACTCTAAGCTTTGACTTTCAAGTCAAAGGTCTCAATTAGGTAACAGTGACATGAAATCCTCAATTGCATTTTCCAGGAAAATATTATTTGTGAATATCATCTGTTATCCTATACAATGTCTCCTATATATAATCCCGAGGAGAAAACACTTTTGAGAATTAGGTACTGGGGCCAGGCGTGGTGGCTCACGCCTGTAATCTCAGCACTTGGGGAGGCTGAGGTGGGTGAATCACTTCAGGCCAGGATTTCAAGACCAGCCTGGCCAACATGGTGAAGCCCTATCTCTACTAAAAATACAAAAATTAGCTGGGCATGATGGCTTGTGCCTGTAATCCCAGCTACTTGGGAGGCCAAGGCAGGAGAATACTTTGAACCCGGGAGGCATGGAAGTTGCAGTGAGCCAAGCTCATGCCACTGCACTCCAGCCTGGGCAACAGAGTGAGACTCCCTAAAAAAAAAGTGGCTCACACCTGTAATCCCAGCATTTGGGAGGCTGAGGCAGGAGGATCACTTGAGGTCAAGAGTTTGAGGCCAGCCTGGCCAACACGTCGAAGCCCATCTCTATTAAAAAAAAAAAAGAGATTTGCCTGGTATGGTGGTGCACACCTGTAATCCCAGCGACTTGGGAGGCTGAGGCAGAAGAATCACTTGAACCGAGAGGGCAGGGGTTACAATGAACCAAGTTTGTGCCACTACACTCCAGCCTGGGTGACAGCAAGACTCTGTGTCCAAAAAAAAGGAGAATTAGGTACTGGGAAAGGTTTATATTTCCTCCTTTCTGATACTAAGAATTCTAACATGGGTCATGACTGTCTGCCATGAAGCCTGAAACCACATCCGAAGCTTGAACAGTCACTGCTGGTTCTCTCCCTTCCATGGGATTCCCCACCATTCCTTGGGATCTTGTTATCATTTCCTGGCATACTGGCCTGATTTCCAACAGCAGAGCCTGTCTTTGCCTGAAGGCTACCCTTGCACTGTCCACAGAAGAAAATAAGGCCGGAAGTACCTGGGACTTACATCCCTGTGCTCCTTCCTCATCCTCCCCAGACAGCTTTTTAACCAATTCCTGACAGGTATAGGTGTGTAAATATCCCAGCTTTCTTGCGTGGGATATCTGGCTCAGGAACTTTGCATTGCTTCCAAGCTTCCACTTGGGATTAGGTACCAGTTGCCCACTATGGCGCCTGATTTACCAGCATACCCTGGATTAACTTACTTTCCTTCCTTGATTCACTTTCTCTTGCACCTACGTGTATCCCTTGCTCCTCCCAATAAACTGCTGGCACTCAAATTCTTGGCTCAAGGTCTGCTTCTGAGGGAACCCAAACTAAGACAAAGTTCCTTTCTAGCAACTTCATAGCTCTGCTTGCATTCCATATTTCTGTTCTTCTTTTCCCTTGTTCTGAAGTTTTATTTATATTTTATGATTATTTTACTGTATACTTTGTCTGCTACCTCAAAGTCTTTGCAGAATAAAGCATGGTGGAATTAATTTTTAGAAGAAAAACACCATCATGTAATGTTACAATAAAAATGCAAGATATAAGTGGTTTATAGAATATAATTCTAATTTTTAAAAATGCATATGTGTATGAGTATATGCAGAGGAAAAAGGAGACTAGAAGAAAATGGACCAAAACATTAACAATGGTTAATTTGGATGATATGACTGCATATAATTTGATTTTTTCTTCTTTATATTTTATTTTATAAAAAACCTGAACCTTCAGTTTTTTCATCTATAACGGAGGATTGCTCTGTCTACCTCGTGGAGTTGTGTTGGCTGAAATGAAGTGTGAATGTAACACAGCAATGAGCTGCATTGCACATTCACGTAATAATCATACAGTATGTGCCTAAAATGGGCCTGATAAAGGTTAGCCAGTGCTGTTATTACAACAATTAGTGAAACAATTTAAAAGGAAATGCTACAAATGAGAAATAAAAATCAGCCCACACTTACATAATGTTTTTTACCTTTTAACACGCATGCACTTACATGAACTTATTGTCCCTCACAAGAATCCTGTGACAGGGGCAGGCTTAGGTGGAGGGAGGGAGCAGGGGCAGGCAGGACTAATATTCACCAAATAGCTGATGTGCCAGATACCAAGGTGGGCACTCTGTAGATGCCTCAGATGAGAAAAGGATGGGGCTCAGAATAGTTAAGAGGCTTGCCCAAGATACAAAGGCAGGATGAAAAGCTCCCACTCCAGACTCTTTGTCCAGGTTTCTTTCCACTCCTCCATGCCACATTGTCATATTCGTATCACCAAAGCCCATGTTCCTAGATGGCCACCTACCCATGCCACTCTCAGTTCCTGCTACATGGATGCACCTGTCCACACACATGCTCTGCTCCTTCCTGCCTCTGTGCCCACTGGGAGCACAAAGAGATGGTTTTTGATGGTGATGGGGAAGAGTCAGCCCTCAAATCTCCCATCAAAACCATCCCAAGTAACCATTCAATCTAAAAAAATCCTGTACTTGCTATGCAAACACAGTAGAGTCAAGGTCACTTCCAAAATGATACCTCCTAATCAGTTTGTTCATCCCAAGTCTTGCCTATGCGGAGATTCTGAAACTGTCTTCTGAGACGTGGGAGGTGATGTGAGGAGGGGCTTTTGGGCTTTGTCTGCTTAGAGTCCAGCAGAGAATGCGGGCTCGGGGGGAGAAGCATGGGGATGTTATTCCTCCTCCACCAATCTTGGGCCCGTTCTGGTCTGCTGTGAGTTTTCCTGCCTGATACCTAGTTATGGTGGTGTCATCACGGCCTGCTGATGGGCAGCGCCATCTGGGATGGGATGGGGGCTGGGAACCAGGCACTTCAGATACAACCTGTGTGTGCCTCATCATGCTGGTCCTCTGCCTCGCCTGCTATGCATCAGCTGAAGCCCTGAATTCCCGGACTAGCCCTGGGAAGTCTTTCTTGATGAATCTAACCTGAAGCCAATCTCTTTTGTCTTTTGTGCTGCTTCTCCTGGCAGAATGTCTATGTAGCACAGCCATGTGTGGGAGCCTCAAGGAGGTTCAACTTATCTCCCCACCTCACCAGCCAGCTCTTCTAGAGCGCACAGGGGCAGTAGCTACAGAGCGCTCAGCACATGCACCCTGGGCTGTTTGCAGCTGCCAGCCTTTTTTGCAGCTTGGAGGCCACTGCCTCTCCATCTAACTTTTCCAAGCTCCCTCCCCTGCTCCAGGTCTCTTTTTGCCCCCCCTCAGAATTTATTTCTACAGCATCTTCCCCAACCCCCATTAATCACTTGATTATTCTTCAAGGATGAACAATCTTTAGGGGTGTGGTGCAAAGACTCCCCCAAATCATTTTCCTTCTGCTGGGAAATAAACACAACTGATTGTAGCTGTGCTACATCTTTGCTAAAAACTTCTCAATGGCTCCCAGGTGCCTCTAGATAAGTTCCAGCACCTCAGTCTGTCAGTGAAGGTCCTACCCCCACCTCCATCCCATTAGTCAGCAGACCTTCCTAGTCTTCCTTCCACGGCTCCAACCAGCTCATGGGACCCCTGAGTGCGACTCTCTCCTACTCCAGGGTGCAACGCGCTTTCAGTTCCCAAACCCAAGTTATGCCTAACACGAACTGATTCAGGCCAAAGGTCACTTCCCTGGTTCTTCCTGGTGGGAAATTTTCCATCCTTTGAACCGTCATTGGCACTTTGGCTTCCTCACTTCCAGTCTGGTGTTCTGATTTTTTCTCGGTGTGAAGTCGAGGGCAGAATGTTTTAAAACCTGCACTTCCCCTCTAACTGACTCAGTAAATGTTCAGTTTCCTGTCCCTATCTGTAAAAGCTTTCCTCCCCATGAACTCAAGCCCTGTCTCCTTCATGAGACTGAAAATCTCCCAGAGCAGAGCGTCTCCAACTTAAGGATCATTCCAATCCTTTGGGGACTTTGTTAACAGGCAGATTCTGACTCAGCAGGTCTGCAGAGGGGACTGAGACCGCATTTCTAACAAGCTGCCAGGTGACGCTGAAGCTGCCGGTGCCTGGACCACATTAGAGCAGCGGGGAGGCAATACCACCTGTTGATCAGGCTACAGCTCATGTCAGTGCAGTCGGGCTGGGTGCCCAGATGGATGAATGAAAGGCTGAGAGGGTCGGTCCTGCCCCCTTCCTCTGAGAGGAAGTGGAGGCCGCCCGGAGGTTGTCAGCGAGTCCGGCCAGCACACTTACCTATGGTGGACACGACGGTGCCCACGAAGTAGAAGGCGCCGGTGAAGTCCCAACGCGGGCGGACGTTGTCCACGCGGATGCCGGCCCGAGTGGCCTCCTCGTAGTGGCGGAGGAAGCCGCGCAGCTCGTCGCGGCTCAGGTTGTGGCCGCGGCTGAAGTTGGCCAGGCGCTCCTCCCAGCGCTGCTTGGCCTGGCGTTCGTGCGCCAGTTCCAGCGCGGAGAAGACGGCGGCGCCGCCCAGCAGGTAGAGCACGATGAGCGCGGCCAGCAGCAGAAAGCGCGCGTTGTCCTCGTTCAGGTGGCCCGGGCCCCAGCTGAAACCTCGACCGGCCATGGCCGGGCCCCCAGGGGCAGCCCCCAGGCCCAGGGCACCCGGCGCCAGCGGAGTCTCGCCCACTCCCCCGGGAAATAAGGGCCCCGGCGCTCAGCCGGCTCCCGGGCGCCCCACCGCCGACTCGCCCATGACCGCCGGGAGCTCCCGCAGGCCGCGAGGCTCCCCTGGCCGCCGCCTCGGTAGCTCCTGCGGCGCCAGCTCCCCACGTCCTCCTTGACGCCTAGTTTCAAATCCGCTTTGTCGCCGCCGTTCCCCTCCACTCCCCCCGCTCTCTTCGGAGTTCTCCTTAACGCCGAAGGTCCCGGGGAGCGGGCGCAGAGTCCACGTCTGCTTGGCGCTGGGTTGCGGACGCCGTTTCCATCCCTGCTCCCTGTCTGGCTTAGGTAGGGGAGGGGGCGTGGCGCGTCTTCAGGGCAAGCTCGAGCGAAGTCGAGTTTCCGCCGAAGAGAAGGTCGAGGGGGTCCGGAGGTCGGCGGGTAAGCAGAGCCACGGGGTCCTGGTTCCTTTGACTATCGCTTCTCAGGCCACTGACGGCTAAGACGCGGGCGTCAGTCTGCTGGCTTTGTAGGTGCCTCCCCAGGTAGACCGACGGTGGTGCGTCCTAGTTGTGGTCGTGGTGTCGCGCTGAGCCTGTGGCCTCCCGAGTCACCGAATCGGCTGCTGGGGCTTAGGGATGGAGCGGGTCCAGGGTGGGCGCAAGGAGAGAGGGGCTGTACTGAGCGGCGTCCGCGGGCTCCGACCTCCCGCCGGGCCCCAACGCTGCGCATCCGTTGCGCGGACAGGCTGGAGAGAGGAGACCAGAAAGGGAGGTTGGAACAGGGAGCGAAGGAAGTTAGGGGCATCTCCCCGGGCAGCCAGCCTCGCCTTGCCCATGCCAGAGCACCCTTGGTCTCTGGATCCTGCGCGGGGGCGTCCTCTGCGCCTACTAGTGGGCTCCGCCCGGACCAAGCCCGCACTGCGAGCCAGCCCCGCTTCCAGAGAGGAGGCCAAAGACTGGGGGCTGTAAGGGCCCCGCGGCCAGGAGACCTTGACCTTGGAGAGTTCCATCTCTTCCACCCGGGCTTGGCTGCTTAGTGCGTTCCAGAGTTTTGCCTGGACGCGGGGTCCGCGCAGAAGGCATCCCCCACCTCACGCACACCATCAGCAATGCTCTCCAGCAAACCGCCAGGGCCCCCTCCCTGAAACCCCGCCTTGTAGGGGCCGCTGGCGCCGCTGCCGCTCTCAGATCTCACCTTCCGGGGAGCGCCCTCTCCGCGCCGCTCCGTCGGGACTGTTCCCGGGCCTCCTGGCAGCCGCGGCCCTGCCCTGCCGGCCGGCGCGGGGAGCACAGGTCCGCACCGCGCTCTGCCTTCTCAGGCGGGCGCGCTCCGACGCGGCAACAGGTGGAGCCGTGCGGCTGCCAGCTGCGGCGACTCCACCCTGTCGCCCGCCTCCTTGCGCGCGGGCCCGCCTCCTGCGCTGGTCTCCGCCGGTAGACGCCTGGCGTTTGGAGGGCGGACCAGGGGCTGCAGTGCTCCCACCAGGGCGCGCAGATCTGGGGAGTGAATGCAGAACCGGCTGGTGGGACGCTCAGCCGGGCCGCGTGGGCCCTCCGGGACCGGGAGAGGGCGCTCTGCCTCCTCCAGACACATCCCGCCCCCGCCCGCGCAGACAGCCCCGCGCGGCCCTCCGGAATCACCCGCCCGGGCGTGTGGGAGCGAATCTGCACGCGGAGAGGAATGGATACGTGGGCATCTTCCCACCTTCCGAGAGAGCAGTCCCAGGCTCAGAGCCCCACACACCACCCTTACGCACCAGGAGCAGAGACAGAAGGGCTAGGAGCCCTGTTGAGTAAAACCGTATGATTTCGAATAATGAAACACAGCTCTGGCGAGTGCATTTTCATCAGAAACCCTGGTGCTGTTAGCAGTCCTCTCGGCTCTGTTACTCACTCCCCAATGCCCCTCTTTCATCTAGCCTTCTGAGGGGCAAGAGCTTTAGGGGCATCGCGAGAATAGGTGCTTGTGTATACACCCAGGGTGAGTACCGCAATTACCTTTTAAATTCATTTTATTATGAAAAATTTCAAACATTCTAAAAGTTGAAAGAACTTTACAGTGAACACCCGTATACCCACCACCTAGATTCTACAATTAACATGTTACTATACTTGATTTATTAGATACCTAGCCGTCCCTCTGTCCATCCATCAACCCATCTGGTTTGGATGCATTTCAGAGTAAGCTGCAGAGCTTGGTACGCTTCCGCCCTCATCCCCAGTACTTCTGCCTGCATATCACTACGTAGGGTTCAATATTTACTTACAGAATTTTTTTCCTTTTCGGATAAAATTTACATACAGTGAAATGCATAAATCTTAACTGTATCATTAGGTGCATTCTGACAAATGCGTACACCTCTGCAAATCACCTATCCAACCTACCAACCAAACATCACCAACAGGTCAGAGTTCCCCGAAGTCCCTTCCCTGTAACTCCCTACCCACATTCCTCCAGAGGAAACCACTGTTCAGAATTTTTCTGCCATCGATTACTTTCGCTTTTATAGAACTCAGTTTTTTTTTTTTGTTGTTCTAAATCTCCATATAAATGGAATCATGCCGGTATGTACTCTCTTGTGGCAAACATGTTTTTGAGATTTACCCATGTTATATATCTTAGTAATTCCTTCCTCTTTATTGCTAGTTTTTCATTGTTTGGATATACCATAGTTTTATTCTTTCTCCTTCTATTGATAGAAAGGAGAACTGTTATAAAATTTTGGTCATCATAAATAAAACTGTTAGGAACATTCTTGTACACCTATGTAGACATATGTTTTCATATTTCTTACGTAAGGACCTAGGAGTGGAATTGCTGGGTCAGAGGGTACATATGTATTTCGTTTTATGAGAAACTGCCCGACATTTTCCCAAAGCAGCTGTACTGACAGTGTACAATAGTTCTGGATGCTCCGTATCTTTGTCAACATTTGGCAGTATCAGTCATTTTAATTTTAAAACTACTGGTGGATGTAGCAATATCTTGCTGTGGTTTTAATTTACATTTCCCTGATGTCTAAAAATACTGGTGGATGTAGCGATATCTCACTGTGGTTTTAATTTGCATTTCCCTAATGTGCTTGCTGGCCACTTGTGTACCTTCTCTTGTGAATTTTCTGTTGAAATATTTTGCCCACTTATAAAATTAGTTTCTCTGTTACTGAGTTATAGAGATCCTTTATATATGCAGGATACCAGTCCTTTCTCAGCTACATATCTTGCAAATATTTCTACCTCTGATTTGCCTATTTATTTTCTCATTTATTTTCTTAAATATGTTTTCTGTATGTTTGGTGCCCTTTGAGAAATCATTACCTCCTTCAAGGTTGCATAGGTTTTCTGTCTCCCCACACTTTTATATTTGGGTCTATGATCCATTTGTTTCCCTATGGTATGAGGGAAGAGTCAAAGGTCATTTTGTCCAGGTGGATTTCCAGTTATTCCAATGCTATTTGTTGAAAAGATAAATATGCCTGAGTTTCAGGAATTTAGTTTGTTCATTATTTGCCCACCCTTATGCTAATACCACAGGATTTACATTACTTATAACTCTATGGTAGGTCTTTAGTGGGACTATAATTGAGTCCTCTAACTTTGCTCTCCTTTTTCAAGATTCTTTGAATGTTATAAAACTTTTACACTTCCACTAAAAAATCATAGAATCAGCTTAATTTCATCAAAAAAGCTGTGGGATCTTGATTTCTGGGATTGTGCTGGATTTTGGAAAGAACATCTTGACAATTCATGAAAGAGGTATATTCCTCTATTTATTTAGGGTTTCTTAACCAAGTTTTCATATGGAGAGTTTGCACATCTCTTGTAAATTCATTCTAAAGTATTTTATGTTCTTTTAATGTTATTGTAAATGGAATTTCAAAATTTTACTTTTCAGTTGTTTGCTGTAGTCCATAAAATACACGATTGTTGCAAAAGTACTTGAATTCTTCAGCCTTGCTACATTTCATCAGTTGTACATGTTTTGTTGATTCCTTTAGGAGTTTTTTTGTAAATAATCATGTCATCTACAAGTTTTGCTTTTTTCTTCCTGATCTTTATCATCTTTTCCCCCTCTTGTCTGCAATGGCTAGAGCCTCAGTATGTTATTCAATAGAAGTGGAAGCAGATACCCTTGTCTTATGATCTTAGGAGAAAACTTTCCTTTTATCATCATTTATATAATGTTAGCTGTGGGGTTTTCATAGGAACTATCGGATTAAGGAAGTTTCCTTTTATTGTTGTTTCTAGTTTTCTGAGTTTTTTGTTTTTAATGAAGCATGAATGAGTACTGAATTTTTCAAATGCCTTATCTGCATCTATGGTGATGATCATATAGTTTTCTTCTTTATTCTGTTAATATGTTGTTTTTCACTGATTGCATTTCTAATGTTAGTTAAGCCAATTTTGCATATCTGGGATAAGTTGTACTTGGGGTTTCCACTCTATTCTTTTTATTCTTCCACTTCTGAATTTACTCTTCTTTTTCTAGCTTCTTATGGTGGATGTTTAGATCACCAATTTTAGACCTTTCTTCTTTGCTAATGTTAGTGTTGCAGGACTTTTCCTTAGTTCAGCTAAAGATGGGGTCCTTGTCCGTCCTGCGACCATGAAAATTTAGGTTGGCGGAGGGTTTGAAGGGTCAAGCAGGACTTTATTGGGTGAAAAGGAAGAAAAGGGAGAAGCAGGCACTCTCTCTAGACCAGAGTCCCTGCTACAGCACTTCCCGCCCTTAGCTTGAATCCCAGGTTCCACACAGGAAGAGGAGGGGTCAGGCTCCTCCCTGCTGCAAGGGTCCTGAACTTCCCCAGGCTCCAGCTCCACCTCAGTGGACAGGCTGGTTGGAGCTTCTCCAGCGACCCCCTCCCACCTGGCTGTCTCATTAGTATTTTTAAACTTTACCTTTCCCTGTTAGCCTGGTGCTAGCTGCATCCTAAAAATTTTGGTATATTGTATTTTCATATTTTATTCAAATTATTTTCTGATTTTTTTTTTGGCACATGAATTATTTAAAAGTGTGTTGCTTAATTTCCAAATATCTGGAGTTTAAAAAGGACACATTATTTATTTCTAACTTATTTCCAGTGTGTTCAGAGAACCATATTCAGTATGTTTTCAATCTTCCTAAATTTGTTGAGACTTATTTCATGGTCCAGCCAGATGGTCTATTTTAGTGAATGTACTATGTGCACTTGAAAAGAATGTGTATTCTGCAGTTGTTGGCTATAGTGTTCTATAAATGTCAGTTAAAAGTAATTGATGGTGTTTATACGATCTATCTTTACTGACATTTGCTCTATGTATTCTATTGATTGGTGAGAGGAATATTTAAAATCACCAGCTCTATGTAATCATCTATTTCTACCTTTATGTCACTTGTTTCATGTACTTTTAAGCTG